AATACAGCCCAAATATGTTTGGGTCACAACTCAGAACAAAAGCCTGCTTAGCACCAAAGCCACCAAAGCCTCATCAGTTAACCTGTCAACATAATGAAGAAGCAGCCCCTGTGGGGTGGCGATGGTTATGACTGTGTCCACTTGGCTGGGCCGTGATTCTCTGGTTTGGCAGTCCCATGATGACACGTGATCACCCCTGTGATGAGATCTGGTGCTCATCATCTGACCTCTAGTTCTTGGGACTTGAGCCGGCAGTCATACTGCATGGCAATCTAGGGATTCATCAGCCTTTGCAGCCTGTGAGCCAGCAGCCTGCCATCCTGTCAACCCATAGCCCCTGCAGCTGCATGAGCCAGGAGGAACCTCTCATCTCACCTGACCATGGACTTGGAGCCTACAGCCACTACAACCCCGAGAGCCACTTCCTTGAGATAAATCAATCTCTTCTGCTTAATATCTATTTCTCTCCTCCACCCCCTCCCTTTCTCCATGCTTTGGGCACATTGTCATGAATCCTTGGAAAACAGAGATCTCGCTGGGAAAAGCAGAGGGTCAGAGAAAGAGAGGAAGACCCCCAGTAAGATGGATTGACATAGTGACTGGGATTTGAACATGTTGGAGATGGTGAGGATGACAGAGGACAGGGAAAGGTTCAGATCTGTTGTTCACTGTGTTACTATGAGGCGTAGTCAACTCAATAGCACCTAACAACAACAACAACGTAAGCTTCACTGTTTCGAATCTCTATTGAACCAAGCCTGAAACTGCAGTGGAGACTAGGGAAATTACCAATAAAAGTTGCCATGTCAAATTTCTCAACCTGAAGTGAAAAGCCAACCCTACACTAAGATTTCTAGTTTCAGTTTTGGTTCATTTTAGAAATGTCTTCACTAACACTTTTAAAATCAACTCTTAAGTTTACACCAGTAGGTTTGTTCACAAGGTACAGAGAGAGGAAATAAGGGCAAAAATGCAAATGCCACTTGCGCTGACAAACCATCTGTCTAAGCTCTTGTCAGCCTCTCAAGAGGGTGATGTGTCTGAACTCTCTAAGGCCCAGTGGGCAGAACCACTGAGTGTCACTGCCAGGTCGAGTGTTAGTAACCTTTTCTCAGATAGGAGCCCTCTCACCTGTAGATGAAATTTTAAAGATCTGTAATAGACTCTGTATCAGAATGGAAAAACCTCCTGATCTCAAAAATAAAAATACACTCTGAAAGCCTCAGTTTAATCAAAACAGAAAAAAATGTAAGGCTTGAGTTATGCTGATGTTCACTGGGTGTCCTGATACCAATTTATCACAACTGCACAAATAACATCACTTCAGCCCAGAAAGGCAAAGGCTTTAAGATGGCCCTATGTATAAGAGCTCTGAAACCTGCCCTATCCTGAGCCACTATCACTGACTCTGACGTAACCTAATCCCACTGTCCCCATTACTGTGTCAATCCATCTCATCCAGGATCTCCCTCTCAGGTGCTATCACCCTTCCAAGCATGATGTCCTTCTCCAAGGATTGATCCTTCTTAGCCATGTGCCCAAAGTATGTGAGGAGTTTCAAAATCCTTGCCTACAAGGAGAAACTTGGTTTCATCCTCTCAAAGGCAGATCTATTCCTTTGGTATGTTCAATACTCTTCTCCAGCACTACAACTCAAAAGGCATCAATTCTTCTGTCATCTTTAGTAATTGTCCAGCTCTCTGATGCACAGCAAGTAATTGTGAAGACTTTGGCCTGGATCAGGAGCATCTTAAGTCTCTGTTGTTGTTGTTGTTATGTGCCGTCGAGTCGCTTGCGACTCATAGTGACCCTATGTACAACAGCCCTAAACTCCACTCTGTCCTGTGCCAATCGCACTGTCTCTGACACTCCCATCCCAATTATCCCAGTCACTGAATCAATCCACCTCATAGAGGGCCTTCCCCTCCTGCGCTCCACAGTCAGCTCCTGGCCTATGTACAACAGAACACATTTAGATAACAGAAACGGCAAAGGACGTTGAGTTTTCAAGTATGGAAATACAAAGGAAGAGGAACAGTTGTAAGCAGACACTGGTGATTGGGACATGGAACCATGAATGTAGGAAAATTAGATATTGTTAAAGAAGAAATGGAACGCATAAATACTGACATACTAGGCATTGGTGAGATGAGATGGACTGGCATGGGACATTTTGAGTCGGATGACCATATGATATATTACTCTGGAGATGAAAAGGTGAGGAAAAATGAAGTTGCTTTCATAGTTAAAAAAGTCATTGCTAGATCCATCTTGAAGTACAATATTGTCAGTGACAGGATAATATCTATACGCATACAAGGAAGTCCAGTGAATACCACTATCATTCAAATATATGCACCAACAACCAGAGCCAAGGAAGAGGAGATGGAAGATTTTTACCAACTTTTATAATCGGAGATTGACTGAACATGCAATCAAGATGCATTGATAATAATGGGTGACTGGAATGCAAAAGTCGGGAACAAAGAAGTTTCAGTAGTTGGAAAACATGGACTCGGTGACAGAAATGGAGCTGGAGAGAGAATGATCAAATTTTGCACAATCAATGACTTATTCATAGCAAATACATTTTTTAAGAGACATAAACGCAGGTTATATACCTGGATTTCACCTGATGGTATGCATAGGAATCAGATAGATTACGCTTAAGTCTCTAGACTGACATAATTTTCTTTAGCACTTTGGAGAGGTCCCTGACAGCAGACTTCCCCAATGCAAATTGTCTTTTGATTTTCTGACTGCTGGTGCCAAGGGTGTTTACTGTGGAGTTAAGCAAGCTGAAATTGTTAATAACCTCAATCTCTTCTCTGTCCATCATGGTGCTGTCAACTGGCTCGATGGGAATCTCTGTCTTCTTTATGTTAAGCTTCAATCCATATTGAAGACTACAGTATATAGGTCAGAATCAACTTGATCACTATAGGTTTGGGGGCTTAAGATGGCTAAAATTGAAAAATATAATAAAAGTCTTGACAAAAACTTGAGAAACTTACATGTCACCAGGAAGAATGTAAAATGGCATGGCTGTTGTGGACAATAATTATTTTTTCTTTTATACTGGTTTGCTTACAGAGTTTGTATACAGTGTTTCACACTATTCCTCATTTGTATTGTGTTTCATAAAATCATTCCCATGCATTATGGTTTTATAATTAATCACCATTGGACAATGATTTTTCAAACAGTTCTTCAAAAAGTTAAACAGAACCACCATGGGATTTGGCAGTCCCACTGAGTGGGCAAACATTTAAGGTACAGTCACAGACGTCCACACAAAAATGTAGTATAAATGCTTATCACAGCATAATTCTCAAGAGCCAAGAAGTGGAGATGACTCAATTGCCTATGAACTGATGAATATGGTCTATCTAAATAGTGCAGCATTATTCAGTCATAAAAAAGGAACACAGTGCATGCTACAAAGATGTGGTTGATGTTCATGGCCACTGAGTCAGAACCAACTCACAGCTGACCCCATAGCACCCAGAGTTCCTTGTAAGGATGGGAAACACACAAACACAAGGATGAACCTTGGAAACCTTCTGGGTCAAAGAAACCAGCTTTGGAAGGTCACATATTACCTGATTCTATTTACAGAAAATGCCCAGAATAAGCAAATCTAGAAAAACAAAGCTGGATTTCTGATTGCTGGGGTTGGGGCGGGGGGTCAGGGAGCATCTGCTAGTGAACATCCAGTTTTGCAAAAGAATGATGAAAATATTCTATGATTTGAATGTTGTTATGGTTACATTAAGCCTGTTGTCTATGAATGTTTCCCAGTAACGCTATGGGACAGAGCAGAACTGCCCCCAGGACTTTCTTAAATAGTATCTTCCTTCCCCAGAGTGGCTGATGGGAGTGAATGACTCCTCTTTGAGTCTGCAGCCAAGCACTTAACCACTGTAGGACTACAGATGGTTGCTGGATCCCATTATTATTTATGCTCACAAACTGAACTGCACACTTTAAATGGCTATATCTCAAGAAATCTGTCAAAATAAACAGGTAATAGTTAAAAGCAAAGAATGGATGCCTTTGACGTACAGGGCTGGCAAAGAATGTAACTGCCAGGTATATGAACACATCAGTCCTGGAGGGCATAGTCTTAGAAAAATGGTGACAGGAGTTTATCTCACATACTTCAGATATGTTATCAGGAAGGAGTCCCTGCTGGAAGGACATTCTCTGTGAAAAAGCAGAAAGTGAGCAATGTAAAATGAAAAGGACTGTAAATGAGATAGACTACAATGGACTCAACTCCATCAATGATTAGAGGATGCCAGAGAATTAGAGAGTGTGTTGTACACAGGGATACAATGCATCTTAACTGACCTGATGCACCTGACAACACACACTGTTAAAACGAACACGTAATACAATGTTTTTCAGCAGTGTAACATGGTAGATCTTTAGTGTCTACTGGTCGTGACATTAATGTAATGGTTTCTCTTCCTAAAGATCTGTTGTATCAAGAAAACAATTTAAACACAGGAACACAGGAGAAAAGCCTGCCTTTGAAGATCTTGGGAGCTCGGCACCAGGACCTTCCCAGCATATAGGACTAATGTGTGCTGAATTTCTATGCCAAAAGAACCCCACCACCAAACTTAGAGCTCACTCATTGCCATCTTAGCCAGAACGTCCCACAGCTGGCCCTCCAGCAGGTTTCAGAGGCCATTAATCACACAGGTGGAGACTGCTCATCTTCCTCCCAAGAAGCTGCTGGAGGATTAGAACCACCAGAGAGCTGGTTCTGAGTTAGCAGTGCAGCTCCCTCCAAACTACACCACCTGACTTCCCTTACAGCTCACTGATGGAATTATGCTGCAGAATTTCATTATGGCTCAATTGCTTCAAGACGTTTAAACTGTAAAATGCAAAACTGCCCTAAAGAACAAGAGCCACTCTGGTCCCAAGGCCAGCAGTTCCCACGATGCACTTGGAGCAGACAGGCCCAAGAAGCAGAAGCACATACTCACATTCCTCAGGACAGGAAGGGCCAGCTGCTCGAAGGAGGCCAGGTCCACCACATACTGCGCAACTCGGGGTTCACGCCTGCCCAGCGGAGGTTCAGACCTGAGGGAAAAGACACTGTGCTCTCTTTAAAGTCTCCTGCACGGACTGCTCAGTTGAGACACTGACCTTCTGTATGAGCAAGTCACCCTTAAATATCACCTACAGGAAGAGCAGTGGTGTGAAAGGCTGAGCTGATGCACACCAACAATGGACCCAGACACTGACAGGCACCCACCATATCCCAGTAGTGACACTGGACACGGAGTTGAGGGTCAACACGTGAACGAGGCTCTGGATCACTGGAATGCGTTTTAAGTTAAGTAGGAGTTTTATATATGGAGGGGTATTTTTTTTTCTCACATGTAGGTTTTCAGCTTGTTTACCTTGAGAAATCTTTAAAGGCCAAAGACTGTTAGAGGTTGAAGAGGTTATCTGGCTAACCTCCTGGCCCACATACTCAAGGGGAAATGGAGTGGGCTCCAATCCAGTAAGAGTCATTTCACTTCTGTCGAGTTAGAGAGAAAAGCTCCCAAATATGGGCAGAAGAGCAGCATAGGAAGGAAAACACATTAGAAGCTAACTCCTCATGCCATCAAGTTGGAACTGACACATAGCTGACCCTCCAGCAGGTTTTTGCAGGCTGCGGGGAGAGGCTATTCCTTGGAGAGGAATATCATGATTGGAAAAGTGGAGGATGGAGAAGACCCTCAACCAGGTGGATTGTTCAGTGACTACAGCTTGAATGGGCTCAAGTGTCAGATTCTGAGGATGGCACAGGATAGGACAGGGTTCACTGGGTCACTAAAAGTTGTACTCAACTCGAGGGGATCTAACAACATATCACAAGAGAAGACTGTCCAACTTTCTCCTACAGAGCAGCTGACTGATTCAAACCTCCCTGCCTTTGGGTTTGGTACCCAGTATGCTACCAAAGCTCCCAGGAAATAAATTCTAAGTACCCGACTCTAGATAAAGGGCCCTGGGTGCCAGACAGAGTGACGACATCAAATCCTATTCTTCTTCCTCCTTGTCTGACTTCCTCTGTATAAAATCCATCAACAGACACACCAGAAGATTTCAAGACCTCACTGGCTTTCCGGATCAATGTGGTTTTTCCAACTCCTAAAATAAATAAATAAAGAGAGTCCATCAGAAAACACGTACACACAATTCTGAGCACAATCATGGCAAGTTGGAAATGTCTGCAAATAAGTTTCATGAATATTAATTTCACTTTAATTTTGATTGCTCCAGGTGTTAAAACTTTTTAATCTCAAGTAGAAACAAGCATAATCAGAATGAGTGATACCTTGGCATTTATTTTTAAGCTGTCATGCATTCTCAGTTTTATCATACACGATCTAGAATCAACTACGTCACCATGTGGTTTTCTGATTTTTTAAGTGCAATCTACATCCTGGGACTCTATTTTATCCTATATTTGCCTTCCTCACTGATCTGTCGCCTTCCACCTAGAGAATAAGCATTCCATGCTAGGGCCAAAGGCTGAGTGAGCTCTGTAAACCAGGATTCAAACTCCAAGATGCTGGGCTTATGTTCTAACAGTGGAAAGGCCATGGCATTCCATGAACAGCTGGGCTCCTTGAACATACTTCCTGAAGAACATGAGCTTCACTCACTCATTGCCATCAAGTGGGAACTGATTCATAGCTGACTGTCCAGCAGGCTTCTTTCAGAGGCTGTAAATCATACAGCAAGAGATTGTCTATCTTTCTCCTGTGGTGCAGCTGATAAATTAGAAATGCCTGCCTTTGGGTCAGCAGTACAACCCCTTACTAACAAGACCTCCAGAACTCCCAGTTAAACTTTTCCTTAAGAGTATTGCTATGACTGTGGAGGGTGCACTCCTTGGAGAGGGATTGCATTATGATTGGGAGGGTGGAGTGACAGTGCAGGAGGGGAAGACCCTCTATCAGATGGATTGACTTAGTGACTGGAGTAATAGGGGTAGGTGTGTTGGAGACGATAAAGTTGGCTCAGGATAGAGCAAGGTTTAATGCTGTTGTATATATGATCATTATGACTCACAGGTGACTTGACAACAACATGTACTGTGGAGTCAGAGGCTGTAATTGTGAGATTGCCTACCTTCTCCCGCAGAGCCACTGATAGATCTGAACTGTGAATCATTGGTTTCTTGGTAACCCCCTTATTCACAAGGCCACCAGAGCTCCCTCCACTAGCAAAGCTAACATGTAGCTATTAAAGTCAGGATTACTCTAGCTTCCTACCTCAGCATTCACTACTGCCATGCCTATGTTGATAATGTAAAAAAGAACTGGACTGCAGACTTAACCACTGTCATGGAGGCAAATATCAGGTAATGAGCTAGTGAGCAAGTGGAGAGAGTGCATGCTTCATTTGTGTAATTATGTACACCTAAAACTTTTATAAAGACAAGACAGGCCAGAGCCAGACAGGCAAGACACTCAGATCCCACTTACAGGTCTAAAGAAGACATAATCATGACTAACAGGTTAACTGTTGGGAATACTGATGTCTTGAGGCCAGCCTGCTGAGACAAGGAATTCCAAAGATTCAAATGAAGGATATATAGGTCAACATTCTGAAGACAATTCTCTGCAATATTAAGCTTTGTTTGGACACTAGAAACTTCAAATCACCTTTCTCCCTCTAATGTCTGGCATAAAGAAAATTCTACTTTAAGCCAAGCCTTTGCTCCCCTACGCCTCTGATGGCTTTATCTGTAAGGAGCTATGCTGTTACCACAAATGCAACACTTCTCCGGTGGTTTGAATCCACTAGCTGCTCTTCCGGAGAAGAATGAGTAATCTCAGTAAATCTGTGATTTACTGCCTTCAAAAAAATGCTGAAGGGGAAACTACGGGTGGGTTCTTATTCCAAGACGATAGGAATGAGGTCAGCCCTTGGGGACGGGCTGAAGGGTCTTGTAAGGACAGGGCTTCTCAACCTGCGTGAGATCCGTAACTGGAGGAGGAAGGTCCAGGTCCGCGATGAGTGGCCACTGGCCAAGAGGCTGCCTTCCTGCTTGATTCTGGCCTCTGACACCTAAAGAGCAGCACATACACTGTTGCATCGCATGACTAGGCTGATGCTTGTTTTTTATAACATTTTGTCATTTATATCTCCCTCCACCTCATTTTGGGTATTTAGGAGCAATTCTCCTGAGAAGGGGTGGGTAGTTCAGACTTTAAGTTTTTGAGATGAAGGACGCTGGGGTCCAGCCGCTCCCTCCCCACGCCCGGGCGCCCGGGCTCACACCAGCCTGCCGCGCCGGGTTACCTGGAGGCCCGGTGAGGAACACGTGCCGGGACATGCGGGCCAGGGGAGTAGGCAGACTGGGCAGTGTTCGATCAGCGTCCACTACCGGGCCAGACCCCGACCCCGACGGAAGCGGCGTGAAGACAGCGCGCATGCGCCACCGCTTGGGCGCCCAGCCCTGGACTCCGACTTAGCCAAATGCGCATGCGCTCTCAGCGCTCCTGGGAAGTTGGGGAAAGGTGGCGCGCTGGCTCATGGAGGTGGGGACGTAAACATGCGCATGTGCGCGCACCGTCGGCCCGCCAGCCTTGTGCTGTTAAATCTAGATGAGGCGGTGAGCTAATTACCGGGGGACTATTATGGGTCCCTGCTCTATTGGTTTAGGGTCATAGGGTCGCTATGAGTCGCAGGCGACTTGATTCCACATAACAGCTAGTCCAAGACTGCGCTTGCGCGGTCGGCCTGCCTCGCACCTTGATTCCTAGAAAAGGAGGCTGACTTACCCAGAGGATGTGTGCTGAATGGTGAACCACCCCTAGGAATACACGCGCTTGCACTGCCGGACGTGCGCCCTCAAGCCCCTAAATGCCCTCGCACTCGCCCCCTGGGAGCTGAAACCTTAGCAGGGTGCCCCTGCGTCCTTGTCTGAGCATCTAGAGGTCGTCAGTGCTGCAGAACCCTCGTAGAGGTCATCCTCCTGGGAAGGGTTGGCAGAGCCCTGCTGCCCCTCTGAGCTGGTGGCCTGGATTCCTAGCATCTGCTGCAGGATGAGATCACCTGAGGAGCCACAATGTACCTCACACCTGCACTTTCCGGAAGTGCTTAAAGTCACCCTAACTGAGGCTGATGTCCACCGACAGCCATGCACAGGCACCCCAACCTCCTAGATCTACACCCACGCAGGACCCAGCTGCGGGGCCTGTCCTGCAGAGTGGATTGGACAGCCCACCTTCAAGGGTTTCCTCATCCCCTTTAAAGACTTGGGGTGTTCTAGGCAGCGGCCTGCGGCCACTCTCCCCTGTTCACAGGCTCATTCTAACACGTGTAGTTTGACCAGTCATCAGTCATGCCACTTCCTGCCTGAGAAATAGTTTCAGTGCATGTTCTCGATGCGATTGGTTTTTGCCCAGCGGGTGTCTCTTGGACTCCCTTTAGCCAGTGATAAACACCAGTGAGAGGGCCCACCCGCATGGGATGTTCTGAGGAGCAGACACAGAACTTTGCCTCAGGTGGACAGGTCAACAGCCTATTGGGAGTTCACTTAATGAGGACAAATGGGTCTTAACTTGTGAGCCATACAAAGAATCAATGCAACAAAGGCCATGATGAGTCCTGAATCACAGCTGTGCCCAGCCTAGGATTAGGTATATGGATTTAGCTCATCAACTTCTCTAATAAAACCCAGACTCCTTGCTGTCAAGTCAGAAGCATTTACAGCCCCGCCCCTCCACTGGGTTTCTGAGGCTACTGGAGAAAGGAGCCACTAGAGCTCTCCCTCTATGAAAGCCACCTGTTAGTACAGGTTTATACACGTATTATTAGAGGAGGCGAGATTGTTGAATGAACAACTTTCATCAGCCCACACATGGATGTGGAATATTTTGTTACCTTAGCTCTTTTGATCAGGGACCTCTAATGGCCTAATGGTAAGAAGATGGACTGCAATACAAAGGCACAAGGTTTGAATCCACCAGCTCTTCCTGTGCAATTTACTGTTTCTGAAAACTCATTAGAGGGTCAGTTCTGACTTGAAGGCATGCAGCAACAAGGAGCAGCTCATTTGATTAGTTGGTTCACTAAAATAGGAAAATTGGAGTTGTGCAGAAAGTCTAGTTCCTGCAGGTCAGGGAGAAAACTGGAGCTACAAAATAGCTTTCTGACAGTCTATGACCTTGGCCCAGTCTGTACTGCTGCTTTGACTGCATTTTTTAAAACAGTGTGGCCATTCTGAGAGCGGGTGTGGGAAATTGAGAGATGGGAATTAATCGCAGCACTTCAAGATTCCTTAAAGAACAATGAACCAGGAAAAGATGAGAATTTGCTCTTCTCTGAGCTCTTCAGTATCCTATGAAATAACATGAGTAAACAACATTTTGTAAGAGGTAAGTGCCAAGGGCAAGCTAAGAGGTAAGGGGAAAGGACGCCTGCTGGCAAAGCTTCAGATCCGCTTTAAAAGGATCTCTTCTGGAATGATAACACTGTGCAACTATGCTTGCTTCAGGTTCACATTTCCTTCTTCCACTGAGATCCATTGGTGGAGAGTCTATTGTTTGTAGAATAATAAAGCCCTTGTTCTCATTTGAATCTACCTCTGATGAGTTAGGAAACAAAAGATGCTGTAGCTCATGAATATTCATAAGTTAACTAAAAAAGAGCAGGTTATTCTGTTTCCCCCTTCTTTTAGCTCTTCCTCCCCTTCCACTTTTTCCACTTCTGGCTGTGTGTGGGGCATCATTCCCTGGTCAGTTCTGTGTCCTGTTGAATTCTGGTTCTCTGCTGAAGCTGCTGGTTCTTGGCCCTGAAGAACATGAGCTCCACTCTCCGCTTCTTCCTCGCTGCTAGTGACATTCTCAACTTCTGGAGTTCAATTTAAAACTTGTAAAATGGCAAGACTAATCATACAAGCAATTTAATCCTAACAGTCTTCACATCCTATTTGTGTGTTCTCACTCAGCCCTGTGGCCAAAGTCAAAGGCCTAGGAAAGCTATTTTGAACAGTAAATGTACTACACTACAGCAAACAGGTAATTGCTTCCATCCTGAAAAGCCTCCATCAAAAAAACATTCGTAAGAAACCTTTTGTACCTGAGATCTGCAAAAAAGAAAACAATGTAATTTCAAACTTTGATATTTTTTACATTAAAATTAAGAATAATTTGAACTCCACAGGGAAGAATTATGCTCTTCTTTATACTACCATGTTTATTGAAAACAACTGCCAATGAGACTATTGGCATTGTGTTATATACACCAATTCTTTAATACTCGGGCATATTTTTTAAAACGGTAACAACTAATATTTACATAGTGCTCACTATATTTTAGAAAGTTCTGCTGAGTTGCACTGCTAATTCTCTGGCTGTTAGAATTCACAACTGACTCCACAGAAGAAAGATGGACAGTCTCCTCCCGTGGGGTTTATAGCCTCTGAAAGATCAGAGGGTCAGCTATGAGTTGGTGCTGAGCCCATGAGAATGAATTTTAATTTTTCAGTTACTGTGTTTTGGACTCTAGTCTAAGAGCATTATACATTATATTAGTACCTTTAAGTCCTTAAAAAAATTTTTCCCCCCCAAGAGATTAAGGAGCTTTCTCAAGCTTTTTAAAAAATCACTGTCACCTTGTGGATTCCAGCTTGCAGCACGCCCATGTGTTACAAAGTAGAACTGATGGCCATGGTTTTCTTGGTTGAAATTGTGTAAGTGAACTATCAAGTCTTTCTCATGAGAGGCCATTGAGTGTGTTCACACTGCCAACCTTCTAGTCAAGAGCTGCATACAAGCAGTTTGTGTTACCTGAGGACGTCTCACATAAATACACATGTACACATACACACTTAGTACATATGCACATGGTGTGTGTGTGTACATGTAATGATAATAAAGTAATTGCCATCAACTTGATACCACTCTTGTCAGAGGAGACCCGCTTCCCATGCTTTTCAGTGGCTGGTTTTTCAGAAATGTTCTGCCAGGTCTTTTCTCTGAGGGGCTTTGGGTGAACTCAAACTTCCCACCTTTCAGTTAGCAGCAGGCATGGTAGCCATTTGCATCATCACCCAGAGACACCTGTATATGTAGGTATATGGATGCATACTTGAATTATGTATTTATCTGATTTCAACCCAAGGATTTGTACAGAAGACTGCCACTCCCTTTAGCTTTTGTCATGAAAATAGATAGTGAATAGTATTGTAATGCAAGAGAGTTTCCCTGAGGACTGCAGGCCCAATCATAAATTATTTCTTTTTCCCTCTCCCAGAAGAACAAAAGTATTAGTTTGGTCAGCTTAATGCATTGCTGGAACTGGCTCATAGCGGACCTTCCCATGAATTTTCAGAAGATGTAAATTATATGGGAGAAGGTTGCCCATTTTTATCTTGTGGAGGGGTTAGTAGATTCAAACCACCTGCCTTTGGATTGGCAGCACCACTCCTTGCCACTAGCCCACCAAAGCTCCCCTACAATGTGGTAGAAGCTAAAATAACTCTTTATTATCACCTGAATTATCATTAAACCATGCAATGTTGCCTTGCTCTGTTGGGATGACAGCTTCTTGGTCTAAGGATAGGTTTCATATGAGCTCAATTGATGTTCTGGGATTCCTACTTTTCCCAACATAAGCCATAATTTGTTATGATCCACATAGTTAAATGCCTTTGCACAGTCAATAAAACACAAATAAACATACTTCTGGTATTCTCTGCTTTCAACCAGGATCCATCTGAAATCAGCAGTGATATCTCTGGTGCCACAGCCTCTTCAAAATCCAGCTTGAATTTCTGGCAGTTCTTTGTCAATGTACTGCTTCAAGATTTTACTTACTTTACTTATCATGTTAATGATATTGTTCACTAATTTTCACATTCTGTTGGAAGACTTTTTTTTAGGAATGGGAAAAAATACAGATCTCTTCCAGTTGGTTGGCCAACTAGCTTCCTTTTAATTATGTTGGCATGAACTAGTGAGCATATCCAGAGCTGCATCTGTTTGTTGAAATACTTTCCCTGGCCGTTGGAATCAGCAGTCAAAAAATCAAACGACATATTGCACGGCTAAATCTTCTGTCAAGGACCAAAGCTGTTAAGGAGGAGCAGTGATGTCAGTTTAAAGACAAAGCTGCATCTGATTCAGGTAATTTAATCTTTTCAATTACCCATAAGTCATCTGTGAATTGGAGAGTGACTAAGGACAACAGAAGAATTGATACCTTTAAGTTGTGGTGTTGGAGAAGGGTATTGATTATCCTACAGGTTGCCAAAAGAACAAAAAAGATAATGTCTTGAAGAAGGTGCGGTCAGAGTGTTGTTCCTCGCAGACAAGAATATTGAAGCTT